CACCCACTTTGGTTAGGACACTGGAGAGATCGAAATCACAAGCATCGAATGCCTTTCTGAGGCGATCAGTGTCGAACTTAGTAGGAGGCCTGGAACCAAATTGTCACGAGCGAAGAATGATCCAACACACCAGAAGCAGACTCAGTCACTCTATCTCTCGAGTCGAAGCTCTCGAGTCACAGAGTAGTTCTGAAAGGGACGAACCACCACTCACTCGGCATGCTGAGTTTGGCGTTTCTCTGTCACCAGTCCTCGTACTCCAAACCGTTCAGCTTGGAGTCTGAGCGAGCGCGCGTTAGAATCAAGTACCGACATCTCCTGATCGGCCTCTCAACACTGTGCCATGGTATCCATAATGTCACCACGATGAGTGAAGAAGACAGATGAGAATACCACTGTGGGATTAGAGCGACCTCTTTTCACAGGAGTGCGAATATTCTATATTGCGAACGTATGCAACTCACTTTTGACCCACTCTCGACTGCATTGTAGTTGATGTAGCGGGATTGTGGCGAGTCGAGAAAAGAGGGTTTGGCCCCTTTTTCTTGAAACTCGACGGCCCGGGAATCCCAGGTTCACCTTGGTCAGGCTTCTCTGACGGTGGCATCAAACTTAGTGAAACTACCATCACTTCTCGAAGGGATTGGTGACATGTCCAACACTGCTTATAGCGATGAATGTGCGCAAATAGGGTGACTCATTACTGATGCTATCAGTCACCATTCCTTGCGATCTGTGATACTCATATTCAGACAAAAATTCACCGAAATTTGTATTCGCTACGCAGCAACACTGATGCACAACACGGACATGATGAAACGAACACAACTCGCTCGGAACAGTCAAGACTGCAACTCGTTGCGGAGGAGTCTGGAAACGTCTTCAACAGTAAGAACATCAGCTATCTCGACTACTTTCTCCCGGCTCTTAGAACCCTGCAAAGCAAATAATGCACCAATGCACCACATATTGAAGCCGACTCAGGTCATTCCTGCCGAATTCGCTAGGAAACTTTCAATTTCCCAAGGTGGGTTCCCAACGCCTTCGGAATCTCCCGTGAGAAAATATGCACATGACAATATGAGACTTCTGAGGAAATTCAATGAGACTATTGTTTGTTACTGTACATTTCTACCCGGATTCGTACATGAGCTTTTGTAGTTAGTGAAAAAACTCTTAAGTTCAGCTGAGGAAAGCGAACATATACTCCGACACTGTTCATATCAAAGGGTCAAGGACGATGAACCCTACCTGGACAAGAGCCACATCTTTCTTCTTTACACCGAGTACTTCCTTCGAGAGAAAGCTCAACAGTTCCTCATTCGCCTCGCCATCTCTCGCAGGAGCATTCAGCTGTACACCCAGAGCACCCTCGGCATCTATCCCAGTGAGACAGGACACCTAAACATTACGTACTGTCAACAGTCTATGAATACGAATTCGAAACCGGTACAGTTGGAATCTCATCATATCGTTGTTGCGCTCACCTTAGCTCCCGGTTTTGCTCGGATCGCTATCCGTGCCTGACTGGTTCGCGGACATTTCGTTACGCAACTCAGTAAGTCACAGGAAGTAGGAGCCACGCAGTCTGGCGAGTCTTTCACGTTTTTATCCTTTTTCGAGGAGTTCTTACTGCGCACCATTTTTGCAGGATACAAACCACTACGTAGTGTTGCACTGTTACCAACCCCAACA